ATACCTATTAGAACAGCAAAAATACAAAACGTTGACAACAACAAATGCTGGCCATGCAAAGCAATAGAAATTCTCATTTATTGCTGGTAGGAATGCAAATGGTACAAGCCACTTTGGGAGTTTCTTAAAAAACTAAACATACCCCTACCACACAATACAGCGACTGTACTCCTTAATATTTACCCAAATGAATTGAAAGCTTAAGTTCACAAAAAATATGCACATGAATCTTCATAGCAGCTTTATTCGTAATTTTCAAAACTTAGAAGCAACCAAGATGTTCTTCAACAGACAAATGGATAAACTGCAATACCACAAGATGGAATATTATTCAGTAATAAAGAGAAATAAGCTATCAAGTCAGAGTTGGAAGAAACTTAAATGCATATTTCTAAGTAAAAGAAGACAATCAGAAAAGGCTACATACTGTATATATGATTCTTTATGACATGTTTTAGAAGGCAAAACTATAGAGACAGTAAAATTATCAGTGGTTGCTAGGAGTTCTGTGGGAGGGAGAGAAGGCTCAGTAGATGGAGAACAGGGGAGATTTACGGCAGTGAAACTATCCTGCATGACATCGTAATGGTGGGTGCATGTCATCAGGCAGTCATTAAACTCAGAATGTACAATACAAATAGAGAATTCTAATGTAAACTACGGTATCAATATTGGCTCAACAGCATTGGTTAATCAATTGTAACGAATGTATCTGCTGTGGACAGAACTGTGTCCCCCCAGAACTGAAATGTTGAAACTCTAACCTCCAATTTGGAGATGGGGCTTTGAGATGTAATCAGGTTATGAGGGTGGAGCCCTCACAATGGGATTAGTGCCCTTATAAGAAGGTACATGACAGCACACGCTCTCTCCCCCTCTCTCCCACCATGGGAGGACACAGCAAGAAGATATCCATCTGCAAGCCAGGAATAAAGTCTTCATCAAGAATTAAATCAACCTGCATCTTCATTTTGGACTTTCCAGCCTCTGGAACTGTGGAAATGCATTTTTCTTGTTTAAATTTCTAATCTACGGTATTTTGCTTAGTGAATTGGGCTGCTGCAAGAAAGCACCATAGATTGATGGCTTAAAAACAACAGAAATGTATTTCTCACCATTCTTGGGGCTAGAAGTCAGAAAGCAGGGTACCAGCATGGTAAGATTCCAGTGAGCTCTCTCTTCTGAGTCACAGACTGCCAGCTTCATACTGGGTCCTCACTTGGTGGAAAGAGAATGAGAGGAAGCTCTCAAGTCTCTTCTTACAAGGGCCCTAAACCCATCTATGAGGACTCCACCTTCATGACCCAATTACCTCCCAAAGACCTCATGCCTTCTAATAAATCACATTCAGGGTTAGAATTTCAACATGTGAATTTGGAGAGGGACACACACATTGAGTGAATAACACAGCCCGAATTTAAAAAGTATCGCATTAATGCAAGATGTTATTAATAATAGGAGAAACTGTGTGTTGGGGAGAGTGAGTAGGTATATGGGAACTCTGCACCTTCACTTGATTTTTCTGTAAACTTAAAAATGATCTAAAAAAATAAAGTGTATTAAAGAAAAGAAGAAGAACATGGCAAAAACAAGCAAACAAAATGAAATGAAAAGATCCTATGTAATGCTAAACACAGCAATACAGTATGGAATATTAAAAAACAATGTTTTTACGGAATCCCACCCATACATTCCAACAAATCGCACAAATCATTTGCTTAATCTTTTGAGCTTCACAGAGGTAGGCGATAAAAAGCCACAAATCACTGTCCAATGGAGTTGCCAATTGCATGTAGCATAAATCAAAATGAAGCATCAAAGATAAAATATGCTCATTTGTGAAGTCAAATGAAAAAAGAAAACAATCATCATGTTAGTTTGTTCATAAACAGCAGTGGTAG